ATCAAATAATGCAATACATTACTTTACATAAGCAGAATTGAACTGAGTATAGCCACCACTATAAAAATAAAACTTGAATCCCAAATATGTAGTTTTTTACCTCACTTTACAATATCCATTATGTTAAGCTAGAAATTACTAAATCTTAAAAAGGGAGTTATTAATCTAGATAAGAAACTGGCAATACACCCTCCCCACTGTACCTTTTCCTGCAGCCTTGCAATTTTTGATCATGTGTGTATATAACTCGGCATTCATTAGAGAGACATTAATGGAACTATTAATGCTTAAAAACTATTAATGCTTGAAAGTTGTAGAGAGTAGTTTGCTTTCACAAGTTTAATATAGCATCCCAACATATACATAACTTCCCACGAACAATTACAGCTAGTTTAACAGAGCAACCAACATGTAAATAATAATGGAGATAAAAATCACCGGGAATAAACAAAATGAAAAATAATCAATTATCACTGTAAAGATTAAAAAACAAATTATTTTAAAAAAGGGAAGTAAGCAAGCTAACCCATTAGAAATTGCAGCTTTGATGTTTAAATGAAGTAGGATGTTGAAATCTTTTTTTGGGTTGTTGATTGTAGGAACACAATTTGCTCTTCTTTTTCTTTTTCTGTTGATAAAGAAAAATGAATGAAACATTTGCAATTAAAACTTTCAAGAGAAATACAGTTGATTTATCAAAGGAAATGCACAAATCTGTTTGTTTAAAGATTGGTCACTGTAATAAACATAACTTTCAACATCTACGCTTTAATGCAAGGGACAAAGTAAGGTTCGATGTAGTTGACTGCACACCAACCGATGTTTCGCTAGCTTCTCATTTCGACGAGAGACCTGCGAAAAGTCATCCCAACCTTAAAAGGTTCTGTCGAGGATTGAAGGGGGGGCTAGCCAGGTTCAGTGTAAGTAGGACACATAAATTAACTAACAGAATATTAGAGCAGTGAAGGAAAACTAACTTGTTGGGAATTTCAGCTGTGGAGTTTGAATGAAGCACGTCTAATGTTTATGTTTTGGGGTTGTTGATTGCAGTAAAATAGGTTGTTGTTGTTTTTGTCTTTCTGTTGTCAAGGAAAAATGAATGACAACCGAATGTAAAGAAAAAGACGCAGCCATCACTTTTGTTGTTGGTTGTGTAGTAGTAATGGTTTCCTATAGGGTTGTTATGTGCACTGAAGAGAAACGAAAGCAAATAACAATAATTTCCAATCTCTATTATCTTTAGAAAGTTTAACCTGTGGTTGAACTTACAAAAAAGTAGTATTTTGTTGCCTTTTCAAAATCACGGTCCTGCCTTATTTTACTGGTGGGATGATTTGTACTTAAAAATGTATTTTTATCAAAGTCTTATATCATTATTTTGCACTTGAAGTATCAATAACTCCTTAACTAAAGTGTGTTTTATAATAACATATCTAATAATATAAGACACCTTTAATTTGTGGTAAATGTTTATTTCAAATCTAGATCTATCACATAAATGAAAGGATTGATTGATAAGTTTAAGAACTGAAATTGAAAGGACAAAGAGATAGCCAAATTTAGAAAAGAAATATCGGGGCAGTCCAAACTGGAACACTATTTGGTAATTAGGTTATATCCAGAGCTGTAGATCTTGGATTTAGGTCTACTTTATATGAATGGAAAGTCAGACATAGGCCTACAACTTTTATATGGAGCCTAATATTTAAAAAGGTTATTTTCAAGTCCAAATTGTAGTAACAACAAAGAAGTCCGGATCTGTCCTGCAGCCTAAATACTGTTAAGTGTTTGACCCATATCTGGAGTTCTAGAAGTCCAAATGACTTTTATTTTTTTCCTGAAAAGCTGAGATAATTTCCTATAACTTTCATGTTTCAAGTGATTCCAATTCTAACTTTATTAATGATGTTTGGGTAGATAAGAGAAGATAAAGATTGTCACCAAGTCAAGAGTTGGCCACCCACTCATCAATTAGTCATCAAATCAATAGTTTTCAATTTTGGCCTATAAAAGGAGGCATTTACCATGCATTTAGGCATATTGGTCTCCAGATCAAAATCAAGATCAAGATCATGCTCTTGCTTTCTCTCTTTATATTTTTTGTAATGTTTAACTTTTGCTTTCATTAATATCTTGTTTACACCTTTCATTTATTTTCCTTTCTTTAGTTAACTTTTATCTTATTTATATTCTTATCTTGTTTATTTGTGTTTTCCTCTTTCATTATGTTTAGTTAAGTTTATTATGTCAAGGTGAAAAAGTTATACTAATTGTGTAAGAATAAGTATAGTGTAAACTTAACATGGACTTTAATGTTTGATATTAACATGTTTTGTATTTGTTATCTTGTTCACTTTTTAATACTTTACTTGTTAAATGACTAATCTAGATTTATGTTGTATAACACTTGATACATCAAATGCTTGACACTTTCATAGCCCATGCTGTATGGTGTAACCAACACCTGAACTATAAAAGGAATTTTGATTTGTTATTAACATTAATTATAATTATGAATGTCTGACGAGATTTACAAGTATTAATATTAATCAGATAAGATAACTAATTTAATTATGTTAAAAATTTATAATCTGATTGAAACATTCTTTGTGTGTGGTTTTCAATTGAATAATAAGAATTTATACTATACTTGTTTGACATGCTATTAGTGGATCCTGTAACCTTGACATTTATTGTTATCATTGTTTAATTTTTATGTTAATCTCCCATCTCAAAGTTCTCATCAACTTCTTCTTCTTCTATTACTACTACTACTATTATTATTGTTGTTGTTATTATTATTATTACTACTACTATTATTGTTGTTATTATTGTTGTTATTGTTATTGTTATGTTATTATTATCTATAATTTATACAATTAACCTCCTTGTGATTCGACCTCGATCTTGTTGGGTTATTTATTACTTCGATACTCCTACACTTGAGAGAAAACATCAATTTTTTAATTATGTCACGGTCCTGTCTCATTTTATTGCCTTTTCAAAATCACGGTACTATCTCATTTTACTGGTAGGACCTGTGTTTTAAATTTTTGTAACATGTGGTAACCAAACATATATATTAGTTTGTTTTTAAAAAACATAAACACTACTGTTTAAACAAATAGATTTTTTTTTATTGAACAATAATCATCTTAATGATCCATCTGTAACCAACACTTGAACTATAAAAGGAATTTGATTTGTTATTAACATTAATTATAATTATGAATGCCTGACGAGATTTACAAGTATTAGTATTAATCAAATAAGATAACTAATTTAATTATGTTAACAATTTATAATCTGATTGAAACATTCTTTGTATGTGGTTTTCAATTGAATAATAAGAATTTATACTATACTTGTTTGACATGCTATTAGTGGATCCTCTAACCTTAATATTTATTGTTATCATTGTTTAATTTTTATGTTAATCTCCCATCTCAAAGTTCTCATCAACTTCTTCTTCTTCTATTACTACTACTATTATTATTGTTGTTATTATTATTATTATTATTACTGTTATTGTTGTTGTTATGTTATTGTTATGTTATTGTTATCTATAATTTATACAATTAACCTCGTTGTGATTCGACCTCGGTCTTGTTGGATTATTTATTATTTCGATACTTCTACACTTAGGAGAAGACATCAATCTTTTGATTGTGTCACGGTCCTATCTCATTTTATTGCTTTTTCAAAATCATGGTACTGTCTCATTTTACTGGTAGGACCTGTGTTTTAAATTTTTGTAACATGTGGTAACTAAACACATATATTAATTTGTTTTTAAAAAACATAAAATATGCTTATGCTTATGCTTATGATCAAATAGATTTTTTTTTTTGAACAATAATCATCTTAATGATCCATCAAAGAAGGAAAACATAAAGTATTAACAGAGAATATGGAAAAAAAAAGATGGAAAACATAAAGTATTAACAGAGAATATACGCTGTAAATATTATTGTTTTTTTCGAGATCTGCCATAATAAGAAAAATAACAGCAGAATTTCTTGATTCCTGAGAAAAAAATCTTCTTGTTGGAATTCATTTAAAGGGTAGGACAACTCTATAGGTTCCAACACCCTCCCAGTGCATGCGAGCACTCATCCCCACAAAGCCACTTCTGGGTTCATCCACTTCCTTTATCCTCTGTACAAATTCAAGAAATGACAGTGCCTTCCTTCTTTTTTAAACTCTCGAAAACAAGTGGTGGCTGCTCGTTAACTAATCTGTTTCCTTGCTAGTATTCATGTTACTCACTCATTTCGAGTTCGTATTTAAGTAGCTTGAAGATATGTTTACTAATTTTCTGACATCTTAAAGCTCCCTGTTCTTTTAAAGCTCCCATAGTTGGTGCTGAATCAAGGCTCTAGAAACCCTTGATTCTTCTTTCACTAGATGCCAGTTTCTTAAGGAGTTTCGGAGTCCTGCCAAAGGTATCCCAGGATTCCTTCATTAATATTCCACAGTTGTCATTGCTAATTAACGAGCTCTCCCAGGATTCCTTCACAAATTTTGAAATCTTATTTTCCGTTTTCCATTTGTCAATCGAGTCTTTTGTATTTTCTCTTTGGGTTTCGCTATGTAATCACCTCTCTGTGTTCTCCATTGCTCACATCAAGTGAAAGACCTCTCTTCTTTAGCAACTATTAGCTCTGTTTTCTTGAGTTCTGTTTTCTCAAATTTGTAGAGAAATGGCGATGTTTTTCAATATTTTCTCATTGAAGAACTTACTGGTGCTGTCTCTAGCACTTAATGTGAGCTTGGTTTTAAGAGTGCTGTATGAGAAAGACTTTGAAGTCAATAATGGGCGCTTTGTGGACAATCAGAAAGATGCATTAACGACTACTGATAGTGTGCTTAGTGAGGCACGAGCTACTCAGAGGGCACGTCCTTCCATGCCCTCTTCTTCCTCCACAGTTGATAGCGATGGCGGGGACACAATAATCAATCTTGATCAGTAAGTGGTACAGTATTGTCTCCTATTTTTGGTTTAAAAGTTATCTTTTACACCTGTTTTGTTGCATAAACAGACCCGAATAAGTTGGCCAGTTCAGTGAACCTCACTGCTAAAATTGGTTGGTAAAGTGTGCCTGAATCATTTAATTCTTTTAGTCTATGCAAGCTTTAAGTCCGAACGTGTCCTTTTATTTACATGGTAACACCTACAGGACCGTGATTAACTTCTTCTTTTTCCACAATGGTCAACGGAGTTCTTTTGAGATTTAGTGGTATTTTCATTTGGAGGTAAAACTGAAAGTATGGAGATTGCTTTTTTTTTTCGTTCCTTCTCTTCCTTTTTAGATGGTGATTGTGTACTGGGAATCCTAACTTGCGGAATCTGTTTGCTTCACCTAGTAGTAGGAGTACTGCAAGTATAAGCAATGCCTAGGTGAGGTATGTAAGTGAATCCAGGGTACTATTTTATCTTAGATTCTCTATGGTGCATGTTAGACAACTGGGGTGACTTCTTCGCACTTCATGACTGTCTCTTGTCATCTTTTTGTTCCCAAGTTGAAGGGTGAATATCTAAGCGCAAAAATGGTAACAACGCTTGTATACCATGGATGGTGGTGCATATTGAGCACTTTTTACCAGCACCATCATTGTGTGCCTCAGTTGTGGTCTTGTGGACCTGACTTCAGACTTCGCAAAAAAATAAATAAAAAGAATACTGGTTTTATTCCCTTTATAGCTATTTACTAGTTGGAAAAGCCCAAGGCACCATGGGGGCTTGGAAGTCGATTCATGTCTGTGGGGTCCATGTGTGTTTGTGCCGATCGCGGGCTGCCTTCCTTTTAGCTTTTGGTTTTTTGTGGAGATCTGAAAAATAAAGTGTGTGCATGTGTGAGGCTCTGGGGGAGGTGTATTCTCTAGAACTTAGGCCGCCTGTATTTCGCACTAGCTTTTAAGGTCTTCTTTCAGGCCATGTCGAAAAGTGGACTTTCTGGATTTACCACTTCGGGGGTCCCTTTGTCTATATGTACTTATTATAACTGGATCTTTACTTGGGGCTTCACATATACATGATGTTAGCCATGCATATACATTGTCTAATCATTGATTTCTTCATAGATTGGGACCAAACCCTACCTTCTGTTACAAATGTTTAAGGTGTTCGAGTTTTTTCTGCATACCATGTGTTCATGTGAGGTAAAACATTATAACCACTTGAGATGTTTATTTTGATGGGTTTAGATGCTTTATATAATAATTTAATATTTAAGGTGTTCGAGTTTTTTCTGCATACCATGTGTTCTTTATGTGAGGTAAAACATTATAGCCACTTGAGATGTTTATTTGGTCAATGCTGTTGATGGGTTTGGATGGTTAGATTAGAGAATATAGAAATAGATTTGGAACTTCCATCGAATAATTTAATATTTTCTAATGAGTGCTGTATATAATATGTAAGGATGCTGATATAATGACCAGCATGACATTTAAGGTGCTGCTTTTAAAGATTTGCTTAATGCAGTGGCGATCCAACAATGTACGAGAGCTTTTGGCAACAAGCGGGTGACAAATCCACCATTGTTATCCCTGGTTGGCAATCAATGAGCTACTTCTCTGATGCTGGGAGCCTCTGCTGGTTCTTAGAGCCAGAGTTTGCCAAAGAGATTATTAGACTGCATAAAACAGTTGGCAACGCAGTCACCGAAGACCACTACATTGTTGTTGGGACAGGTTCTACACAGCTTTATCAAGCTGTATTATATGCACTGTCCCCCCAAGATGCAGTGGAACCCCTCAGTGTTGTATCTGCAGCCCCTTACTACTCCGTGAGTATTGCTTCTTATATATATAAGCTTGATTTTTATCTCCTGATATGTAGTTTGTCATTTACCAGAATTCATTTTTCTATTATTTTAATTTAATATCTCAATAGGGCGGGTGCATTTATATGCAATATGCCTTTCAAATTTCCCTGCATCAACATTAAATTTCTGGCATTTTCTTATGCGTAGTTTCTACTCTTGTTTTTTTTTTTTTTTGGGTTTCTTCATCCCTGCTTCTTTTTTAATTAAAACCTGTTGCTTCTACATCTTCCATCGCTAGTCTCATGCAAATATGCATGTGCTGAATTTCATAGAACAAGCCAGCATTTAAATGGTAATCAAATGTTCCTTTTAGTTTCAGATTTGTATTATAAAAGGAGTTAATGTATCTGTGTACATGAATACTGAAGTCAATGACGTTTAACTATCTGCTGCATTTACTCGAAGTGGCATAATCTTCATATGCTTGTGAGTTTCGAACACATGTATCTCTCTGTTTTTTATTTTAATACTTTTAAATTTTTTTTTTATTTTTTTCTTTGCTTAAAATTAATATTTTTTTAATATTTTTATATTATTTTAATACACTAATGTCAAAAATAATTTTTTTTAAATAAAAAAATTATTTTGATATATTTTCATAAAAAAAATATTTCAAAAAATAATTATAACTACACTTTTAGTTTTGTGTTCTATCAAAGATCGTATTATCACCTCAACCACACTTCTAATCTTGTGTTCTATCAAAGATTGTATTATCACCTCAACCTTGTCACCTCAATGAGGTGGGTTGGAATAAAAATGAAAAATCATAATTGAAACTAAGTTTTCTCATAATTGTCAAGATACGTCGTCCATGCACACTTTCTCTAAATAATCTGAGCTCAGTGTGGCCGAACCGCTTTAGCCTTTTCTGGCTTTCTTTGTTCTTTATGCATGGACTTCCATTGGACTTCAAAGTAGAATATCCTTCCTTTGATATGAAACCAAAATTCTGTCTTCTTTAATATTAATTTAGCCTTAGATACACTACTTGATGGTTATGATGCGTTGGTTTAATTTTAATTTAGCCTTAGAGACACTACTTGATGGTTATGATGCGTTGGTCTAACTTTCATGTTGATATTTTTTTGCAGTCTTATCCATTGATCACCGACTGCCTGAAGTCGGGGCTTTATAAATGGGCTGGTGATGCGCGAAGTTTCAATAAAGAGGGACCTTTTATTGAACTCGTTACCTCCCCTAACAATCCAGATGGATACGTCAGGCAGTCCGTCGTCAACAAAAGTGGGGGCATCTTGGTTCATGATCTTGCATATTATTGGCCACAATACACGCCAATTGCTTCTGCTGCTAATCATGACATTATGCTCTTCACCGTGTCGAAAAGCACAGGACATGCTGGGATGCGCATTGGGTAAGCTCAACTTAGATGGGATCAAACGTTGTAACTAGATGATGAAGCACGTTGTATTTCTAAATTTTTTGTTCCACATCTTTCAGCTGGGCTCTTGTCAAGGATGAAGAAGTAGCCAAAAAGATGGTGAAATTCGTAGAGCTCAACACAATTGGCGTGTCTAAGGATTCACAACTTCGAGCAGCTAAAGTGCTGCAAGTTGTGATCCATAGCTGTCGATATCCTACCAGCCTTGGGTCCCTTTTTGATTTTGCTGCCCACCTCATGGAAGAGAGGTGGAAGTTATTGAATGCTGCTGTTAGGCAAAGTGGTCTCTTTACTTTGCCTGAGTTTTCCCCTGGATCATGCAGCTTTCTCAACAAATCATTTCCTCCTCAACCTGGTAAAATATGGCTTATGTTTTAGATCATTCATATCAACATCAATTCAATCATTTATGAGTGTTTTTTTTTCCTCTTGTGGGAACAAGTTCTTACATTATATTTGTGTCCCTTGTGCAGCTTTTGCGTGGTTGAAGTGCCAAGAACCCATGGAAGACTGCGAAGGCTTTCTCCGATCTAACAACATCATAACAAGAAGTGGTAAACACTTTGGTGTTAGCCCACAATATGTTAGGATAAGCATGCTAGATCGAGATGAAAACTTCTATATATTTGTAGAGAGATTGTCCACCATCCACCAGCGACAATCCGTGCAATTGGGTGAGACGGGGGAATAGAATAGGCAAAGAGAGTCCATATCTGTAAAAGATGTAAAAACAAGGGGGCAATGGCAATTCATGTCAGCACTAGTTTAAGAGAAGCTCAATCAGCTTTAAGAATAACCATTTAAATAATAGATTTCCACAATAAATATACATGTTTTTTTTCAGTTATTTATGCGTTTTGCCTAGAATTACATTATTCAACATGCATATGTGTACTGAACTTCTTCTATTTCAAGATGAATTCATAAATGTGAAAATTACCTATAGTTGCAGATGGGTACTACAATCTTGTCTCAAAAAGACAAATGTGATGTATCGTAGCCCCTTAAGTTGCAATATTGAACTTGTGGGATGATTTTGAAATGCAAATATGGTAATTCGTTTGGCAAACTCCGGCTCGAAGAACCCTAAAAAAAATATTATTGTGGTTTGAAAACTGCCTCCAGTCTCCACCATAGCTAACGTTATTGCTCATTTGCATAGCTAACGTTATTGCTCATTTGTTATTAGTCATGCGTGCATGTTGGCCTGGATATCATATTAATCTAAAAAAAAAAATTTTATATTTCTAGACCTTGTTTGGATCCGCCTTCAATTTGTGCTGCAAAGTCCATATCATTTTAAAAGAATGATTACCATCTATTTAGGACTTGAACTCTACAATAGTTTATTTTTCGCATAGCGCAATAAAAAATAAAAAATAAAAAATAAAAAATAAAAAATAAAAAATAAAAAATAAAAAATAAAAAATAAAAAATAAAAAATAAAAAATAAAAAATAAAAAATCAGCATAGAGCAATAAAAAATAAAAAATAAAAAATAAAAAATAGCATAGAGCAATAAAAAAACAAAAAAATAAAAATATAGTACAATAATGCTAAAGAGGCCATTCAATTTGGAAAATGCTTCTAATGAGAAAAATTATAAAAAATATAAAAATTTCAAGGAAAACGATAGAGACAAAAGATTGTTCAGAATATATATAGCTACTATAAATTGACCCTTTTGGTGAAACAAGAATATAATGAATTATACCCCAATAAATTATATATATACATGCTTTCAATCTTTTCATACCAAAATAGATTATAACAAATCGCTTAATATGCTATGAATAATTATTTAATTAAAAACTGTAGTTTGTGGGAGAGGGAGAATACTCAATATATAATATTTAAATATAAATTTAAAAGATGATCATGATGAAGAACATTGAAACCTTGCTAGAAACACAAAACATATTCCCATTATTCTCATAACAACAATTAACTACAAGAAAATTTAGGCAAAACTAATAAAAAACATTTTAGGTAAAATTTTAGCAAAACCTAACTGAAAATTAATGAAACTCCAGAAAATTTTGGCAAAACCTAACTGAAAATTAATGAAACTAAATAACGGTGTGGTAATGAAAGTTCAAGTTTCTCGAATAAATTTATGAAAGACTAGAAGCTTGATGCACCAGTGAAACGTTGGAAAAAAAGAAAATCTTCATACTAGAATATTTTTAAAATAACGGTAATCAAGAGTTAAAAATGAATTCTTTGAAATTTAAAACACAGTAGTTTCACTGATTTTGGAGCAGAAATTAAAACATTATAATGAATTTCCAAATGCAAAAACATAAATTTGAAATTTGAAATTTTTGAAAGACTGAAATCTATAATGTACCGATGAAATAATCATAGAAAATAAATAAAAAAAGAAATCAAGAGAAATATCTTCGCACAAAAATATATTTGAATTCGATTATTATCATCAAAAGATTTAAGAATACATTTTGCAAAATTATAACTATAAAATTTTCACATAATTTCGGAGCACAGGACCTTTAAATGAAGAAAAGATGAAGTGTGACAAAGACATTTGAATGAATTAAATTATTCATCTGATTTTGAAAATAAAGTGAAAGCTAACTTGATGTTTTTTTGATTTCTTGTTCCATAATATATTATTTGCACTTAATTCTATACTATAATTAATGGTGCCAACCATTCTATCTATTAAATTATTTTATAAAATTTTTATAGAAAAAACTCCCACCACCTTATTCAAGATTTGAATATTGATTAGCAAAAGAACAGGGCTACATAATCAAATTCAAGACAAGAAATGAACACACCAAATTTTGTTTCCTTTGAAATTATGGCATTAAGTAAAAGTATTTAGGTTGATTAAAGTAAAATTTATGTGATTTTTAATGGCCGACACCAAAAAATATCAATGATCGCAGTTTTCATAACCTTACATCTTTTTATAAAAGATTCATCAGCAACTTCAGTTCTATTATCACATCTATTATAGAATGTCTAAAATGAAACATTTTCTAGTGGATAGCAAAGCTAAAACCAATTTTCAACTAGTGAAACAGAAAATAATTAAAGCTCTAGTTTTGGTATTATTAGACTTTGAAAAGATGTTTGAAGTAAATTGTGATGTTTTTTGGCAAGCATTTGAGTTGTTCTTAACTAGAATGGATGCCCCATTACCTTTTTTTAATGAAAAATTATCCAAGTTAAAGAAAAACTACTCTATATATGATCTAAAGTTTTACACTATTGTTCATACTC